AATACCATTTTTTGAAAAAAAAAAAAATACTACATGCTATTAACGATCTACTTTATTGCATAGCTAAATGTAAGGTGAGGCAGATTTGGAATGTGAAAAACATGTTTTTATACCAAACTTCCTTTTCTGTACTTTATGAGTAACAACATTCGTTCCACTTAAACAGGGGAAGACCTCCAGTGAGTCACCCACATTTGTGGAGCCAGTGCTGTGTGACTTCCAGCACAGCAAAGTGGGATCGCATCTGTGCTTTCGTAAACCACTCAACTGCTGACCATTTCGCTTCTCTCACTTTCCCTAACATGAAGACGACATATCAAGACAGTTGTTAACAACGCATTTGAAGGCACTGCATACAAACTTACTACACAGTTACAAACAGTGAAGGTTGTTTTTATGAAAACAAAGTGTAACTGTTCCAAAACACAGAGGTATATACTCTGAGTGGAAACCAAAGAACACACGCCATGGTTTCACACTGACACGTCATCAGCATTAGATTCAGGCAAAGCAAGCAAAACTGCTACACTATTTTATCACAGTCAAACTGAGATTCAATCACATGGCCCCGTATTGAGCCCAAATAACGTATGGATGATGTATTAGTCTGTTCTCACGCTGCTATAAAGGTACTATCTGAGACCTGATAGTTTATCAACAAGAGGTTTAATTGACTCAGTTCCACATGGGAGGGAGGCCTCAGGAAACCTACAATCATGGCAGAGGGCAAAGGGGAAGTAAGCACCTTCCTCACAGGCCAGGAAGAGAGCGAGTGAGAGCAAGGGCCATTTTAAAAACCATCAGATCTCGTGAGAACTCCCTCACTATCAGGAGAACAGCATGGGGGAAACCAACACCACAATCCCATCACCTCCACCAGGTCCCTCCCTCGACACGTGGGGATCAAAGTTCAAGATGAAATTTGGGTGGGGACACAGAGCCAAACCATATCAGATGGTGAAAACGTTACACACTAAAAATGTACAGTCTCTAAAATCTCCCTGGTTTATTTTGTGTTAGCTAAGTCAAATATCCTCACAGCAGCCCTGGACAATGCTGGGGGAGGACAAGTCGCCTTAATCATCTTCCTGTCCCACTTGTCAGCCACAAAGGCCTGAGAGGGGCACAGACCTGGCTGGCAATCTCTGCACCTCGTTTTCTTCCAAGCTTGTCCACTCTAAGTTAACTGTGCTAATTACATTTTGAGTTAGTAACTTTCAGAAATGCACAATAGGCATGCTATCAGATAAGATGCACACTGAGCATTCCCTATTGAACACCTATTTTTAAATATCTGGGTCTCTAACCACCTGTCATTCTCACACTGCAGGTCCAGATTAGACAGGAACCAAAGGCGACTGGGCAGGAGCTACTTCATTAAGTGGATGTCGCAAAGTAACACTATGCCTGCCCTAACAGAACGGAGAGCACTGTGTTCCCGAGCACCTGAACCAACAGGACACCATGACACTCAGGAAAGACGCTCTCCACGGAGTGCTGACTGCAGGACTTCCACTCTGCTTTCACTCGAGCAGCCCATACCTTTGTTAGCGAGGACCTAGCCTCTTGGGAATTGGTTCATCAAACCAAGATACAACATCTTTTCCAAGAGCTTCCTCCCAAGGTCTCTCTGCCCCAGCACTGCTGACATTTCATGTCAAGCCACGTGAGTGGTGCGGCTGACCCAGGCACATAGGATGTTCTGCATGACCCCTGGGCTCCACAGGAGAGGCCAGGAGCCCCCACTTCCCCCCACCTCCAGTAACAACCAAAAGTGTCTCCAAACTTTGCCCCATGTCCTGGAAGGTAAAAATGCTGTCTACTGCGAACCACTGCATGCACTAGAAAACAGACCAAGAGGAGGGCATGGTGCCCATGTGCAGGGTGGCACTGTTTATTACTGAGTTTCGTATTTAATATTGTGAACAGGACATAGTGAGTACCAGTTACACAGGCGACATGGACTTCTTCAACTCAAACTCCCAGTTGTAAAGCTCTGCAGAGACGGTTCCCATGGCCTGACTACAAAGACCAGACGCCTGAAGACACATGTCCTGATGGATACTGAAAAGCCAACTTCCCTGTGTACCTGTCACCATGGCTATTAAAATAAAACCACCGTTTTCCAAACCACGGGTCAGGTGGAAGGACGCCCATGCCACATGCAGCTTGGCACCTGGAGCAGCCGGGGGGGACGGAGGGACGCAGACTCCAGGCGGCTGCTGCCTCTCAGTCTTCTTTCCTTCTCCTTTCCTTCTCCTTCCTTCTCTCTTGTGCCTTCTTCAGATCAGTCATCACACTCAGCGTCTTCCGTACCCACAAAATCTAAACACAATAGTTCGGAACATGTTTAAATTTGAAAAAGACACACACGAAGAAAGCCAGGGGAGTATCTGTACGCACCACAATGATCATGGCATTCACCAGCAGCGGCGCGGAAAATACTACAGAAATGAACATGCCCCTGGAGTCGAAATACTGGTATTTTGAAAATAATCTGTTCAAAAAACAAAAGCAAAACATTACTAGGCAATACAGCAAAAAAAGTTCTAGTGACACTGTTTATTTTACTAAGACTCTGGAGAAAGCTGCTGTGGACTGAGGTGGAAGCAACCCCCTCACTGAGCCCACCCTTGGGGGCAGCCATCATCCACTGTACTGTCCCAAATGCAATGCCCATGAAGAAAACACCCTGGCTCACAGGACAGGGAGACACCACCCTGCAGCACGGGGAAGACCCCGAAGTCTCCCAGGCAGGGAGACCCCACCCTGTAGCACAGGGAAGACCCCAGAGTCTCCCAGGCAGAGAGACCCCACCCTGTAGCATGGGGAAGACCCAGAGGCCTCCCAGGCAGGGAGATGACACCCAGCATCCCCTCTGGGTCAGCAGCACATCTGACCTCAGCTGGAAGACACTGATGACCTGAAATCCTTAGAACCTACAAAGTAACATCAATAATCCCCGTAAATGAGGAAGGGAGAGCAGCTGCGTCCACTCCACAGCCGCACTGGGACCCTCCCATCCCTTTGGCTCTCACAGCAGCCGTCCTGCTGCCAGCACGAGCACCTCTTTAGCAGAAGAGACGGAGAGAGGCGGAAGATCTGCTCTTGCACAAACATGCAGCGCCAGGGAGGGCAGAGGATCTGCACGTGGCTGTTTATTCTGCTCTCAGCAGCCAGCACGGGAAACACCCCACACAGAGCTGGTAATGATGTGCAGCGGGCAGCGGGTCAACGCCTTGTGGGCACGGGGTTCCCGCCTCACTGGCACTTTCACTCTAGACCATGGGAGGCCCAGAATTAAGAGGCAGCCAGTCCAAGCATGTGGTGACTGCGCTTACACAGAAACGTGAAGGCTGTGGGGTGAGGGGGCCTCGTGGACTCACAGGCACAGCTATGAGCGGCTGGGACAGAGCTAGCAGGAGGCCACAGGGCACCACTGCATGACTCCGCATTTGCTCGGAGTGACCTGGGACACTCTGGAACGTTCTGAGGGGCAGTGCCCAGCTGAGGCCCGCGCCTCCTCAGACATGCAAGAGGCTGAGCAGTATGGGGATGGCTTAGGGACTGCGTGTCAGCAGCAGGTTGGCAAAGCTGGGGTGAAGGGCATGGAACGCAGTGGGCTCGTGGCTGGCCTTAAAGGTGGAGGGACAGCATTCTCCTGAATGATGCACTGTGACATCTCTGGTCTAAGAAGCTGAGGGAGAAGATACTTCTATAAAGAAGGGGGAGCAGAACAGTCAGCCTCAAGTGTGAATTCTGAGACATCTGTTAGACATCCTGGTGCCCAGTCCAGTGAGTGCAGCAGGCAGGAAACCCAGCACTTCTGCTATCAGGAGATGCCGGAGAAGCACAAAGCCAGGAGGCTGAGGCCACAGGAAGGGAGGAGCCAGGAAGGCGCTACACCCTGGAGCTGGGTGTGAGAGGGCTTCAGGGAGGAGGAAGGCACTGTGCCAGCCTCCGTACAAGGTCAGGGTCATCGAGGACAGAGCACCACTCCTGGGACTGAGCCATGTGAAGGCCCTGTGTCCAGGAGGAGAGGCGTGGTCCCCAGGGAGCCACTTACTGCTAAGAAGGGAGGAGGGAGGAGCCGGAAAGAGACAGCGTGCTCCAGCTGCAGGGAGGCTGCCCTGGAGAGAAAGGCTGAGCAGGCAGGAGGCAGAGTCAGGGGAGGGTTCGGGAAACCGGACGAGTCTAAGCAAAGGCTTTCAGGCTTTCAGGGAGTGCTCAGCAACCCTTTCAATGAGGGCCCAGGGTCAGCGCTTAGGGCTTATGGGCCATGAGGCCACAGTCTCAGCTCCTTCCTGCTCAGAGTCTGGCAGTTTTATTTTTGCTTTATATTTTAAAATGTAAAAACCATTTTTACCTCACAGGCCATTCGAAAACAGTAAGGCCAGGTGGGTATTACCTGACAGAGGCTGTGCAGTTCACCCTGGGCAGGTGCTGGGTCCCAGTTCCCTGGGGTGAGGCCAGGGATGGAGGGGGAGCAGAGAACGCAGGGCCAGGGCTACCAGCAGCGGTGTCCCCTGACATCAGAACTTGGGGCTGGGGGTGAGGCGGCAGGCGTCCCAGACCACCCGGAGCCCCGTACTGGGGTCCAGACTCCCCATGGAGCAGCCGCCACAGTCCCAGGGGCAGGGCACGGCCGAGACCAGCGTGGACCATGTTCTCTAAAACACTGTTTCTAATCAGCAGCTCACATTCTCATGGCCTCACATGGCTGTGCCATCAGAGGCTTCCGCCAGCATCACCCTGCTGCTCTGTGCTCAGAAAGGGCTGCTCTGGCTTTGGTAAAGCACTTACGGAGCCGCCCTGGAGCCCACACCCCCTGCACGCACAGGCCCAGCGTGTGCGCGGTTGCTGTGTTAGGTTTCACTGTCTCCTCCTAGAGTCTCCCTGGCTGTGAGGGCGGTTTCCGGGGACACCCCTGCAGAGACCTGGTCACAGGTCTGGGGACAGCTCACCTCCAGTTCATTGCAGCCACCTCATTGATGTATTCAGCACAGTAGACTAAGATTACTGAAGGAAGATATAAGTCATGTTAGAATTTAGATGACCCATTATTACTGGTTATAAAGTTATACATTCTTTATAGCAGAATACTGAATAGAAATGTCACTTTAATTCTAAACATAATGTCAGGTAAACATCCTAACAGTGTCAAGTTATAGGACTCGCCCTCTTAGCAGAAAGAAAACCAAGGCCAACAGTACTCCAGTGCTCCAGCAATCTATGGCTCAGTCAGAGCCCGAGCTCAGCTCAGCAGCTGCAGAGCCACAGCCGGAAGTGCCCTGAGGCCCCAGGCTGCACCCAGGCATGGCTGCACCGCCTGCATTTCCCCAGGGCCAGCAGCCACAGTTCAACCCCACAGGACACAGCAGCAGGAGCCGAGAGCCACAAGACCCCTTTTCACGCTTACATGTCCCAGGCTGCCCTGGGGCACTGCCACCAAGATGACCACAGGAGGGGAGCAAACAGCTTTGGGGGTGCTGGAGGCAAAGGCACAGGAGGGAGGCCAGCAGCTGGTGGGGGCAGGCGAGGCCACTGTGCTCCCAGGAGCACACAGAGTTTAGGGACTGGCCCAGGGTCTCCAGCTAATTCACGGATAACGCTGGGACTCAAACCCATGAGACAGTGATCCATGCTACCAAAAAATTAAATAAAATATAATCATTTGGCAAATTTAAAAAAATGTAATGCTTTAACTTCTAAGGTAAATCAAAATGTAAAAATCCTTTCATTCTTCTTGATCCACATCCAAAAGCAGATTAAACTAGGGGTTAGGGTTAGGGTTAGGGTAGCAGTCCCTTCACTGCCTTCCTCCAGGAATGAACCCAATAAAGCAGAGCAAGGGAAAGCACAGAGAAAGAACCAGAGGGGAGGGCAGGGCCTGGGAGGGGGAAGAGGAGGAGGAGGAGGAGGAGGAGGGAAGAGAAGGAGAAGGAGGTGGAACAAGAGGAAGAGGAGGAAGAGGAGGAGGGCCAGAGAGTGACAGAAGGAGCAGGACAGCAGGGCACAGGAGGAGGGTGGGCTAACATAGGAAGTGGTGGGCACAGGAGGACAGTGGGCGGGGGCGGGGTGCCACCAGGTGCTTCTTCCCAGCTGTTCCTGAAATACACCCTGGAGTGGACTCTGAATCCTGAATCTTGATGGTGCTGATTATAAGCTGTGTAGCTGAGGGAGTCAGAGAACCTCTGTGTGTTTCATTTATAAAAATGGGCAACTAAAATCCAACTCTAAGGTTGGTTTGAGATCACAGGAAATGTACAAACGGCAGGCAGCACAGTGTCTAGTATTACCCCGGTGTGAAAGCAGTCATCCTTCCCCTTATCCTCGAAAACATCAAACTCCTGTGCAATTCCCAAGCTGAGAAAGCTGTTCAGATCCAGGAGCTCACCTGGTGAAGCCATCCCCTTTCTTTGAGGTGCCTGCCTCAGGCCTCTGCATGGGGCATTCGCTCCCACCGCTGCCAGCGTCTTGCTGCCTGGCTCCTGCCTCTGCACCTGTTTGCCCTGAGATCACAGGAGGCTGCATGATTTAAACCAGGCCACTCCTCCAGTTTCACTGTGCTTTTGGTTTTCCATTGCAACATTTGTCACTGTGATAATAACACAGGCCTGTGATAAATCTCTGGTGCTGTGTCCCCCAGGAAGCTGTGGGAGGTGAAGGAGCCCTGTCTCCCTGGGCCACCCCAGTACTCCTCAGGGCACCCTTGATACACAGCTCGGTCTGACCGCCTCACTTGCACAGGATATGCCAACACTCATCACTTCTCCAGTCTTTCTAAAATCAGCTCTTGGATTTCCTGCTTTGCACACAGCCAGCTGACTAAACTTACCTAAAATTAGTTGTTGTTTTTAATTACCAAGCAAAATCTTCGGTGTCTCTCCAATGCCAGAGTCAAGAGGAGCCTGCACCAGGCCTCCAGGCCTCCTCGCCTCTCCTACCCACACGTGTTTGCAGTGCTCAGCATCAGAAGTGCTTAGGTCCCGCAGGGCTGGCAGTTTCTCTGCCCCTGACCCACGCCTTCCATCCACCTCAGTCTCTGCTCGTCACCTCCCCAGGCTGTCACCTGCTCCCTGTTTTTCTTACTAGCATCTTACTCACCCTTCACACCCTGTGCCATACTTCAGCTTTTCTGAATAATCTTCCTCAGTCAACCTGTGCAGCTCCTTAACTTCTCCAAGTTCTGGAGCCCTTATCTTTGAAACCAAGTTGGGCAATGCCTTATTTTATGCACAGAACGTTTTTTCCGCAGTTTGCAATCTTCCTCCCATTCAGAGCAGGGCTGCCCTGAGGATGCATCTTGTGTAAAGAACAGCACTTTGTAAACTCAGCCGTCCTGTGTGTAAACTCAGCCCTCCTGCGTGTAAACTCAACCCTCCTGCGTGTACACTCAGCCCTCCGGCGTGTACACTCAGCCGTCCTGTGTGTAAACTCAGCCCTCCGGCGTGTACACTCAGCCCTCCGGCGTGTAAACTCAGCCCTCCTGCGTGTAAACTCCGCCCTCCTGCGTGTAAACTCAGCCCTCCGGCGTGTACACTCAGCCCTCCTGCGTGTAAACTCAAGCCTCCTGCGTGTAAACTCAGCCCTCCTGTGTGTAAACTCAACCCTCCTGTGTGTAAACTCAGCCCTCCGGCGTGTACACTCAGCCCTCCGGCGTGTAAACTCAGCCCTCCTGCGTGTAAACTCAGCCCTCCGGCGTGTACACTCAGCCCTCCGGAGTGTAAACTCAGCCCTCCTGCGTGTAAACTCAGCCCTCCGGCGTGTACACTCAGCCCTCCGGCGTGTACACTCAGCCCTCCGGAGTGTAAACTCAGCCCTCCGGCGTGTACACTCAGCCCTCCGGCGTGTACACTCAGCCCTCCGGCGTGTAAACTCAGCCCTCCGGCGTGTAAACTCAGCCCTCCGGCGTGTACACTCAGCCCTCCGGCGTGTAAACTCAGCCCTCCGGCGTGTACACTCAGCCCTCCGGCGTGTACACTCAGCCCTCCGGCGTGTAAACTCAGCCCTCATGCGTGTAAACTCAAGCCTCCGGTGTGTAAACTCAGCCCTCCTGTGTGTAAACTCAGCCCTCCGGCGTGTACACTCAGCCCTCCTGCGTGTAAACTCAAGCCTCCGGTGTGTAAACTCAGCCCTCCTGTGTGTAAACTCAGCCCTCCGGCGTGTACACTCAGCCCTCCTGTGTGTAAACTCAACTCTCCTGTGTGTAAACTCAGCCCTCCGGCGTGTACACTCAGCCCTCCGGCGTGTAAACTCAGCCCTCCTGCGTGTAAACTCAGCCCTCCTGCGTGTAAACTCAGCCCTCCGGCGTGTACACTCAGCCCTCCGGAGTGTAAACTCAGCCCTCCTGCGTGTAAACTCAGCCCTCCGGCGTGTAAACTCAGCCCTCCTGCGTGTAAACTCAGCCCTCCTGCGTGTAAACTCAGCCCTCCGGCGTGTACACTCAGCCCTCCGGAGTGTACACTCAGCCCTCCGGAGTGTAAACTCAGCCCTCCTGTGTGTAAACTCAACCCTCCTGTGTGTAAACTCAGCCCTCCGGCGTGTACACTCAGCCCTCCGGCGTGTACACTCAGCCCTCCGGAGTGTAAACTCAGCCCTCCGGCGTGTACACTCAGCCCTCCGGCGTGTACACTCAGCCCTCCGGCGTGTAAACTCAGCCCTCCGGCGTGTACACTCAGCCCTCCGGCGTGTACACTCAGCCCTCCGGCGTGTAAACTCAGCCCTCCGGCGTGTACACTCAGCCCTCCGGCGTGTACACTCAGCCCTCCGGCGTGTAAACTCAGCCCTCATGCGTGTAAACTCAAGCCTCCGGTGTGTAAACTCAGCCCTCCTGTGTGTAAACTCAGCCCTCCGGCGTGTACACTCAGCCCTCCTGCGTGTAAACTCAAGCCTCCGGTGTGTAAACTCAGCCCTCCTGTGTGTAAACTCAGCCCTCCGGCGTGTACACTCAGCCCTCCTGTGTGTAAACTCAACTCTCCTGTGTGTAAACTCAGCCCTCCTGTGTGTAAACTCAGCCCTCCGGCGTGTACACTCAGCCCTCCTGTGTGTAAACTCAACCCTCCTGTGTGTAAACTCAGCCCTCCTGCATGCAGCTGGTGCTCAGCACCTCCCTGGTAGGCAACAGGAACTCAACAGATTCCTTTCAATTCTCACATCCAAAAGGAACTTTTCTTTAGAGCTGCTAAGAGTGAAATATGGGAGAGCCCTAAGAGCAGGCACATGGCAGAGGGTTGGGAGGTCTTGCAAAAATATGTACGTATTTTGAAGGCACAGACAGAACGTACAGCTTCGCTTCACACAGTGATCTGAGTCATGCAGTTTGGGTTGTTTTACTCACCTAGGCACAGGAAGTGCCCGATCTGTAGTTTGTAGCTCCAGGAGGACAAGCAGGTGAGGAGCAGGCAGAGCGCGTGGAAGGCAGCCAGCCCCACAAGCCAGGGCTCAGTCCAGTCGGTCTGCTATAGGAGCACACCAGCAGACACTCACTGTCCCCCGCCCCCCACCCCCACCGCAGGGCCGGGCTCACGGCCCACCCACAGCCTTCCCCCGGGGAAGGGGGCAGGGGGCAGGGGGCAGGGGCCTCTCACTCCTGAGTCCTCCTGGGGCCACTCACCAAGGTATGGGGAGAGCACTGTCAGGCCTCACAGAAGCATGGGGACAGGAAAGGGAGAAGGAACAGGGAGGATGGAAGCAGGATTCTCCCCCCAGGGCAACTTTAATCCATGGAATTCAAAGTTCAACCACACAGAACTGAGGTCATCCCTGACGTGCCCCTTTTGTGTGTGGAACAAAATCATGTTTTTAAGCTGGGTATAATGAAAGGAATCACCAACCCTAAAGTGATGATATTTCGTGATGACAAGGAAATTAAGCGACTTCTTCAAAGAGATGCACTTGGCTCAGCCCCAAAGGCAAAACGCTGGTTATTTCAGGCTCCTTAGTACTGAAAGCCTTGGGGAATCTGAGCCACCACAACGCGCGCGACCTGATTTTCTCCAACCTCTCTGCGACACTCTGAACCCTCCAGACAGTGCTGCACTCTGCTGCCTCCTGGACTCCCCGGGACTGCCGTACCAGGGGGCAGTGTCTGGCTCCAGGACCTACAGTAGCCAAGCTCAGTTCCATTGCTGCCCAGTTCCCACCTGATGCTCAGATGCCAATCCCAGCAGTCCTCAACCCTCCCCATCCCCTCGCGAGCCCTTCTGCATGAGCCCTACACTCCAAGCTGTAGCCCGGCACAGCCCTCCAGGACTCCTGTAAGTGTCACTGCTCTCTGATGGAGACCGCAGCGGCCTCTCCAGGGCCGCACCAGGAGACTAGAGCACAAGTACATCTGCTCCCATCAATGCACCGACCAGAAGGCCAGAGTCAGGGAGTTAAGAGGAGCACGGCTTTCTGCCCGGATCCCATCACGTACCCACTCGGGGTAAGGGCTCCCCAAGGCCCTGCCGGACACACCATAGGCACGGCGCGGCCCCGCCCACACAGGGGCAGGATTCCTCCGCGCCACGTGCCACTATTAGGCTCCACCACTCACGTCCCGCCACACTGCCCAAGATCCGCCCACACTACCCAAGTCCTGCCTGCAAAGCGGAAGACTCGCCCGCATGCGCCTCCCACACGAACAAAGCCCTGCCCCTCGCGCTCCGCCCACACAACCCAGCCACGCCCGCCTAGTGATGGCCCCGCCTACCGAGCACGCTCCGCCCCAACGTCCCGCCCCCGACGACCCAGGACCCCGCCCAGCGCGCACGCTCGAGGCCCGGCCCCGAGCCACGCCCACAGGGCCCAGGACCCCGCCCAGCGCGCTCGCCCCAACTTCCGGTCCCGAGTCACTCCCACAGGACCCAGGACACCGCCCAGTGCGCGCTCCGCTGCCCGGCCCGGAGCCACACCCACATTTCCCAGGACCCCGCCCAGTGCGGGCTCCACCGCCCCTACCCACGCCCACAGGTCCCAGGACCCCGCCCACCGCACGCTTAAGCCCCTCCCACAGATCCCAGGACTCCGCCCAGCGCGCATGCCCCGCCGCAAGACCTCGCCCACAACCGCCGCCTTCTTGGCCACAGGCGAGTAACCCTGTGGGATAGACCTGACGGCTCTCGGCCGTCCTCGCTCGAACTGGTGGTTACGCAGGCTGCGAGTTACCGTGAGTACAGCTGGGATGGTGACAGGGAAAGAGCTGACGGAGAACGCGGACGGCATGGTGCGGGGAAGCCTGCCCTCACAGCAACCGCTGAACCCGGCCTGGCCGGAATCCACGGAGGAGGGCGCCAAGTCTTCTCTCGTGAGATCTTCCGGCGTCACGAGACCTGCGCTTCTTTCCTCTCGCGATAATTGCATGGCATTTACTAGGTCCAGATATCGCGGTATTTCCAGGTGTTCCCTGTAATATGGAAACTTACCACCCGGGTGTAGGGATTGTGCTCGCTCCGGCGGCAGGCCGAGGGCGTCTTTAGTTCTTTAACCTAGGAGCAGGCGGCGGCGGGTGGGGCTTGTTTCGGAGGATCAGGGTGCTGTGCGGGCCCGCCAGCCTCCCTCCCACCCGGGACTTTCTAGAAGGGTCAGAGCCTCATGGGGACGGTGTCCGCCCCGGGACCCTGGGGACATCGTCCACTTCCCGGAGCCTGCGGGCCCTGGGGACGGTGCCTGCTCTTGGGACCCTCAGGGCAATGCACTCTCGGTCTGGGTCAGCTTAGGGCTGTCTGTCTTCGCTTCGGAGATTTACCGAGTGTTGTTACGCTTCACTTCCTTGTTCAGAAAAATATAAGAGATTCTCATGTATAATTTTCTTACAGCTAATTTCTTTTTAACTGTTGATATCAGATATGCTTTTTTCCCAGTTTTTAAAAAATATACCCGAACTTTGAGGTTTTCAAATTGAACATTCTATTATTTTAACATCATGAATTATTATTAAGTGTATATACTTTAATTGCATATGTTAGCTTTTGAGCTAGTTTCGTATTTGTTTTAAAACGTTCTAGTGGTGGACTTTTTTAAAAAAATAGCCTTAACCTCTCCCAGATCTTTCTTAGAATCTTTCCACAGTGTGGTCATTTCTGTTTATGCTACTTAACATGCATTCTCTCATTTCAGTGTAGAAGGTCATGGTTTCTTCTTATGGGAAAACATCGTTTTCACTGATACTTTTCTCCATTTTTCCTGTGTTCACCTCCAGGAACATCCATTAGGTATATAGTGCATCTTCCTCTCGTGTTTCACAACTTTCCTCTCAAAACATCACGTTTGGGAAATCTTGGGCTTGGCCTTCCTGCTGTTTTTGTTTTTGTTTTTTTTGAGACGAAGTCTCCCTCTGTGGCCCAGGCTGGAGTGCAGTGGTGTGCGATCTCGGCTCACTGCAACCTCCACTCCTGGGTTCATGCTGTTCTCCTGCCTGAGCCTCCCTAGTAGATGGGACTGCAGGCGTCTGCCATCTCGCCCAGCTAATTTTTTTTTAGTAGAGACAGGGTTTCACCATATTGGCCAGGCTGGTCTCTGTAGGGTCAGCCCTACTAGCATCGTGGGGTGTCCCCTATCACTGTGCTGAGGCGCAGGATCCGAGAAATAAAAAGACAAGACACCGAAGGACTGGAAAAGACAGCTAGGTTGGTGGGAGGGAGTGGGAGGGCACGCCACCTATGAGCGGAGACAGGCAAGGCCCCGAACCTCCAAGAGCGTCTGTATTTATTGGGTATAGGTTAAGGGGCAGGGTAGTGAGTGAGGACATCTTAAGAACAGTGTTAATGTCAAGACAATCACGTGTGCGATAAGCAAAGGGTCCTCCCCATTAGGTCACTGAGGCAAGGAGGTGGGCTGTGCACAGTGAAGAGGTTGCAGTGTGCATTTTCTCTTATCTAGGGGCAGGCTACTTCTAAGGAATTCTACAGGAGGATGCTTTTGAGTCAGCACAGTAGCTAAAGAGCTGACAGGGTATACAGCCACCTGCTGGCAGTTTCCAATGATTTCTATAGGAGGATGCTTTGAGTTAGTACCTAGCAACAGAGCTGACAAGGTGTATAGCCACCTAGCTGCGGTTATATCAGAGGGATTTTAAGCCCTCAGACACTTACGGGCTTGCTAACCTGAGGCCAGCTTTCCACAAGAACTGGATGCAAGGTCCTGCAACCCCTTTTCAGGAGGACTGACTCTTGCTCCAAGCCTGCCATACAGCGAGTATCTTTACAATACAGAACGCTGCCGCCTGGGCCGGCCTGCCATGTAGTACGTGCCTTTTCAGGCAGGGTCACTACCATCTGGGCCATAGATACTTGTCCTGGTATAACTGTTTTCCCCTTAAATCGTGCTCTGCACCATGTCTGTTCTAGACATTCCTCTGACTATAAGCAAGCTATGATTATATATGTATAGCTGTTTACCCCTTAATTCATGCTCTATACTGTGTCTGCTCTAGGCATTCCTCTGACAATCAACTAAGATATATATATATATATATATGGAAATAACCGAGTGATAAGATATTCTTCAGGCACGAATTATTCCAACTGTAAATGAATATATGATTACATATAAAGGATTATATAAAGGAAATAACTGAGTAATAACACTATAAACCAAGATATTCTTCAGGCACTAATTGTGCCAGGGATCTGCTTAGCTCTTCTTCCTCGGTGCCCAGATGGGGGGGGTTACCCACAGGTCTCGAACTCCTGACCTCAGGTGATCCATCTGCCTCGGCCTCCCAAATTGCTGGGATTATAGGCGTAAGCCACCATGTCCAGCTGGTGTGATGGTTTTCATCTGCATCCATTCTCACTCCCCTGTGCTTGTTCAGCTATTTTCAACAGGACCTTTCGGTTACAGGGAGTAGATCTGTCCTCCTCAGGTCAGCCTGTTCCTGTGTATTTCCCTGATGATATTTTGTTACCTTTTAGGCATCACTCTGTTTACTTAATTTCCTTGGGTTAGTTTCTCTGTCAGTCCTGTCCGGTGCCTGCCATTCTTTTCCGGTGTCTGTTTTCTTGTAATTTTGGGTGGCACTATTCTTGTTTTTAGTATTAACCACAGCCTGTCTACTGTCACTGGGATTTTTTCTCTTCATTCTCTCCTCAGCTGTCCCCTGGCAGATCTTTGACATGTGCGCCCTGGCACCCAGGTTTCCAGAACTGTAAAAACCCTGCCCCTCAGCAGCTCCACTGTCAGTCCCAGGACATTCATCTTCCACATTTCTCCCACCCTGGTGTTGTGAACAATGTTAGGCTTCCTGACATTTAGACATGAAGCTTGTGAAATGTTGCCAGTCTGAGCTGTGCTTTAATTTGAAACGTACTTTAATTTCAAAGACTTTGTACCAAAATGCAAAATATGTCATCAACAGTTGTATTATTTTACCTGCATGTTGAAATTATATTTTGGAAATACTGGACCAAATAAAATGTGTCAATAAAATTAATCTCTTTCTCTTTACTATTTTAATGTGGCCGCAAAACGTGGCTTGCTTTCTCTGTCTGTTGGTGTGTGAACACTGATGTGGACTCTGTCCCATTTGCCTGGAATTTTGTGCTGTGAGCAAGGACTGGATGAAGCTGTGATCAGGATGAAGAAGCATCAATTTTGTTTATTTTTTATTTATTATTATTTTCTTTTTGAGACGGAGTTCCGCTCTTGTTGCCCAGGTTGGATCCCGCAATGGCACGATCTCAGCTCACTGCAGCCTCCACCTGCTGGGTTCAAGTGAGTCTCCTTGCCTCAGCCGCTCGAGTAGCTGGGGTCACAGGCATGCACCACCACACCCAGTTAATGTTGTATTTTTAGTAGACACGGTGTTTAACCCTATTGGCCAATCTGGTCTCGAACTCCTGACCTCAGGTGATGTGCCTGACTTGGCCTCCCAAAGTGCTGGGATTACAGGCATGAGCCACCACGCCTGGCCCAATTTTATTTATTTCTAAAATAGCTTCACAAGTTGATTCACCGTATCTTTAACCCACATACAGTTGGTTTTCAAGAGCTTTATTAATGGACAAAATATGTTTGTGAGCTGTCATGTTTCTATAAATTAAAACTAGTACTTGGTAGCTTTCTTGCTCTTCATGTTGGTTGGGACCCAGCAGGCAGCAGATTGTTTAGATAGAGAGACCACAGGAGAGAGTTGCTGTGGGATCAATGAGGGGATGGGGAGGAAAAGAGATACTGGAGACCAGGTCTGTGCCCCGTGATCCAGAGGCAGCCTTGGGAGCGGCGTCTGTCTAGGAAGAGCCCCCTGTTCAGGAAGCTCTGAGGAGTATGAATATCCCACAGGCACCTTGGCAGCAGCTCCCTGGAGACGCCAGCATCTGCCTCTCCACCACCTCCTGTCAGTGGTTCTTCCATCTTCGTGCCTGCTCCTGAACAGCGCCTTCAGAATCAGGGTCGCAGGATCTCTGCCTGGGGGTCCTTCCAGCACTAAACGGAGGAGCAGGTGGTACCCCCAGTGTTCTGCTTCACATTGTGATGCCCCTCCCACAGCCTTCAGGGTGAAGCTGACATGCGCTGTGTTGGCCCAGGGTCTGTGTGACCTCCACCGACCTGCACACCAGGTGTGGCACCTGCATCTGTCCTGTGAACTGGCTGTGTGACCCCATGTGTCCACTGGTGCAGTTGGGAGGAAAGCCGGCACCCAGGTGGGGACACAAGACCCTCCTGAAGGAGGCATGGTTCTATTCCTAGCATTGATAGCCGGTCAGGAAGTATATCCAGGCCATCAGCTGGGGCCTCGGGCCCTCAGTCTCTACCCAGAGTTAGGCCCTGCTTCCCCCAGGAAGAGGAGCCCCGAGCACCGGAGGCTTCACCAGCTCTGCCTGAATCCAGCACCATGCAGAGACCCTGCAGGCAGGGTCACTCTTGTCCTCCCCGGTGAGGCTGCAGGATCAGGGGCCCACCCCAGGTGCAAAGGGCCATGCAACCCGTGCCTGTGCAGATGTCCCCCTGAAACTGGGACTGGGTGTGTGCCACCAAATCAAGTTCACCAAGGCTTGCGTTTTCCACATTGTGGAAGTCGATGTTGTGTGGTCTACGATGTTGAGCGGAACTAGGGTCCTAGCTCCAGGGTCACTAATTTGGTCCTTTTACTGAGATAGCAAGTGCTTGGGGGGTTGGTGGTTCAAGACCAGAGGACATGGCAAGTGATCAGGAATGTCTGCTCTGGTGTTGCGAGAAGCCACAGCCAGGCCGACGTGGCCAGGACCCCCTAGACCTGGCCTCTACAGCCCCATGCCAGCCGGAGTGCCAGGTGCAACCCCCAGGGCTGGTGACAGCTCAGACAGAGCCAGTAAGCCCAAGAGGGTTGGATGCTTCGGGACAGCAGGTGTATCTCAGGAAAGGTTTAAGCACTGTACACACCCAAATAATGGTGTGAGCCTGTAGGTTTCATTCCTGAAGACATGGTCAGTAGCATAGATCCCTGCGGTCCCTGAGAGCTGGACTCTGGGTGTCTTCAGTATCTGTGTCTTGGGTGTGAATCAGACCATAGAAGTGCCCTGATCTCCATTTATCCCCATCAAACTTGGCAGACACTGACCTCATGGGCTGGGTTGAGGACCCCGGGTGGCTTCTCTGGGGGTTCCTGGTTCCTCCCTTTGTGTTTCTGGGCTGCACCAGTTTGACCCTGATGTGAAATCTGGTTCCTCTGTCAGTTTGTTTGTACAGTGTAGTTTGCAATAAAGCTTCTACAGCAATGCTTAATTTGCCATTTCCGCTTTCTGAACATTCTCAGGTGGCATCATTTCCTTTCAGAGTGAAGAATTGCATTTAGCATCCCATGCAGTTCAGATCTGTCGGGGATGAATCGCCTTCTCTGAAAAATGCTTATTTTGTCTTCATTTTAAAGAATACTTTTGCTGTGAATCATCATTAAATACTGTTTTTTCTTTTCTTTTCTTTCAGCACATGAGAGACATTCCCCAGCCGTCTGTCATGCCATATTTCTGGTAGAAAAGCAATGATGTTTCTAATCCTCATTCCTCCATAAACGCCATGTTGTGTAGCAGGATGCTCTGGCTGTGAGCACAACACGAGGCTTGTTGTGAATCTGAGTGTGTCTGTTCACCAGGGCGCTGGCCACACTTCTCCGTTTGTTCAAATGACTTGTGGGTCATTTAGCATGACCCGCTGGGCATAGCAAATGTCATGCTGTGGAGAGTCTGGGCACTGTTATTTCTTCCAGAGTGTGTGAGAGAGAGAGTGTGTGTGTGTGTGTGTGTGTGTGTGTGTGAGATGAGGCCATTAAGCTGGTTTGACAGACTGCAAACTATGCCCGTTGAACTGCAGCTGAATTCTGAGTAAGATTCTTTTTTCCTTGTGTTTCATGATGTTTGCCTCACACACTCAAGGATCAGTTGTCAGCTGGAGTCCTGGACAGAGGTTATACACAGAATTTGGGGTTCTCCGTCTCTGAGTCTCTCCTTCCTTCATCATTTTTTAGCAGGCGTGTTCCCAATTTCTTCAGGAGAGAAAGACCAAGGGCTTTCTGTGGTGTTTTGGCAACTCCGCATTGCAGGGCCTCAGACTCATTCGAAGCTAAAAATCATGGAAACCCTCTTTCCCTTCTTTCTTCCATGATCATGCTCCCCTCCCATCATCCATGCTTTTCATCCCTGTTCACTGCCTTTACGGAGTCACATTTGTATTTGTTCATTGTCTACGTATTTCTCCTGCAGGAGAGTGACATTAGAGGGTCTCACTTGACCTCCTGGGAAGCAGAAATCTAGAGATGGACACGTTCCCGAAATGCTCCTACTCTGCCTGTGAGAGAGGTGTAATTCTATTCACATTGTCCTGAGGAAACTGAGGCTCAGAAGTAGCATCCTTTGCCTGAAAGGACTCAGCTCGTGAGTGCTGGAGGTGTGGTTTCATGTCTGATTGGCCAATTCCAAAGCTCCTATGATGTGCACCAGCACTCAGATGCATTCTTTCCTGACCTCTCCCTTCCCAAGAAAAACGGTGTCCCTCCCTCTTCCTCTAATTAGAAAATTCTTTTGTATACTAGGAAATTATTAGGAAATAATCATTTCTCTCCAAAAGTAACGCATTGCAGAGTCAGTATCTGAGGGTTTTGCCCAAATATGGTCTTTCAGCCTCTGAATTCATGGCTCCAGAAACTCTAGCATGTTTCTTCATAGCATGTTTATTCTAATCCTCCTTGATGGGTGATGTGGTTTCGCTGTCTATAGGGTCCAGCCCTACAGGGTCCTGTGAGCCCCTCCCTGCTGGTGCGGAGACAAGAAACTGTAGAAATGAAAGACACAGAGAGAGAAAAGAGAGTTTGGGCTCGGGGTCCACTGCCAACAAAAGCGTGGAGATCTGCAGTGGCCCCGGGTGCCTGGCCACTCTGACTTTTGTTGAGTACAAAGCAGGGGGCAGGGAAGGTCGGGTGAGGTACTGGTGGTCAGTGATAGATCAGGTAAATCATGTGTCTTGAAGTTAGAGGGCCCAAGACTTTCAAGTAGCAGAGATGAGAAAAGCTAATGTGTCAGTGCTCTTCATGTATTTGTTAGAAATATCAAGGACATTAATTCTGAGGAAAAGAGAAACCAGGTGCAGAAGCGGGGCATGAGAGTGGACAGGGAAAGTGACCACAGAAGCACAGCCACACATAGAGACAGTTAAGCCCCCAGATGTCTGCAGGCTTCCCCGACAGCCATCAGGCCTTGTCACAAGAGCTTGGAGAAGCGGAGTTTTCTCCTAACTTCCCCAGGAAGGAGATGTCTCTGCCATTTTGGACACCTCCTTCCCCGGCTGGCTAACCAGCAGGCACTTTCATAGCGCTGGCACTGCACACAGCCGAGGCACCTCCAGCAGCCCTTAGGCGGGCGTGACAGAGGACTTAGGGCATCTTGCCGTAGGGTCACTTTGATGTCACTTCAGTTCTATGCTTCATAACCGGATAGTCATTTAGTAAAATTAAAGGTTAAATTGAGTATATATCTTTATGAATAGAGGTAACTGTAAGATTATATATGATTATATAAAGGAATAGCTATGTGCTTACATTTCTGATTCTTTTCTAAATCAATATTTATATGGGAACAGGCTGAGGCTTCAGACCCTTGCCACAGCACTTGCGGGTTTCCCTCCTACAGCTGTCTCCCCACCCAAAACTCATCTTGAACTGTGGCTCCCATAATCCCCACGTGTCATGGGAGCGACCCAGTGGGAGGTAATTTAATCATGGGGGCAGTTACCCTCATGCTGTTCTCCTGATAGTGAGTGAGTTCTCACAAGATCTGATGGTTTTATAAGGGGCTTTTCCCCTTTTCTGGGCACTTCTTGCTGCTGCCATGTGAAGAAGGACATGTTTGCTTCCCCTTCTGCCATGATTGTAAGTTTCCTGTGGCCTCCCCAGCCCTGGGGAACTGTGAGTCAATTAAAGCTCTTTATAATCTAATTACCCAGTCTGGAGCGTTTTTCATAGTA